TCCTGCAATCTTTATGGCTTCTATAACAATATTATTTTCTCTTCTTTAGTGTGTTCCTTATCTCGTCTGTTGATATATCAGACATAAATTCCAATCCTTGATTGACTAATCTTTCTCCTGAGATTTGGGGAGTTATTATTTCACTATATAATTTCTTTTGGCTGTGTATCTTTTGGCTTTCCTCTATAGCTTCTATTATAATGTCATTCAGGGTATTGATATTTGTGTATGTATTCTTATTGTTTTCGAGAATGCTGTTATTGTGTTCTTCAAATGCATTTATATTATTAGGTTTTATCCAGGTATGTGTGGATTTCCTTTTGATCCTGCGATATATCTCTTTCCTAAGGTAAATTTCTAATGACACTTTCACCATTTTGTGGTCGCTACCTGTTGAAAACTGGTTTAAAACTTTAAAGATTTGCCCCTTGTCAGTGATCATAAAATCCATCTTGTTCTTAGTTGTTTCATTCGGACTCTGCCACGTCCATCTCCGATTTTTTTTTTTGTAGAATAAGCTGTTCATTTATAATAGAGTTTTTCCAGCAGGAAACTAAGTAAAGTTTCACCGTGCTCGTTCCTGTTTCCCAAACCAAAATTTCCCTATGATGTTTCTGTCATATCTGCCTTTCTCCCCGTTTCAGCACCGAAACCACCACATATTATGATAAAGTATGCTTTTGCATCGTTTAGGGATAAAGTAATGTCATCGTATAATTCTTCTATTTTATGGTCAGCATGGCCACGGTAAAGAAACTGTTTACTGATATCCTGCTGTTTTCATAATTTTTGTCTATGAAGAAGCCAACGCCTCCCACTGTTTTAGTTTCACTACCGACCTGATTGTAGTTTTTTTATACTCCCTCCTTCTGTTTTTTTTACCACGCAACCCCTATCTTTTCCCATTTAATTTTCGACATTTCTGCTTCAATCTCTATGATTCTTTCTTCTGCTACTAGGGATCTAGCATTATATGTAGCGACGATGAGTTTCAAGGGCCTTTTAAGTTTATTTACCAGAATCTTGTCCCCCCAGATTACATGGGACAGACTAGCAGTCTAGTGCGAGATTCTGGAAATCTTTTCCTACTCACCTAAGGTAATATATTTTGAGATAATAATATTAAATCTAAATCCTAATGTTATTTTAGAGGATGTTTGGCGTGATTTTAAAACCTGCCGCGCTTGCAAAGATGTGTTGGCTGGTTTAGGCCAAGGACGTAGGTGGGAATAGTTTGGGAAAAGACTGGAAAGGATATAAGGACCTAACTCTTCCATGATAGAAAGGAGAAACGCCAAAATTACTTACTCTAATGACATCTGTTTTACCTAAAAATAAAGGGCAGGTTTGCCATCCCCTTGCTGCCATGGCTTGCTTTCATGCTGCCAGGCGTGAAAAATGAACACAGACAGTAGAAAACCTAGACTTCCAGAAGCGAAGTCGACAAGCTTGGTCCCTACTGCGGAAACTCGGAAGTAGCAACCCACCCGTTCGCCAAACCAACCTAGTAACTCCAGACCAAATAGCTACGCACATAGTGTCAACCTCTAGGGCACCTCAAAATCGTTTACATACAATTAAAGTTAAAAAAGACCTCAAAACCATAAAATCTAGTCTTGCACAGTCAACAGAATATTTCAACCCATTTACGCATGAAGAAATATCGCAAGCCCTAACTGAAATGAAAACAGGAAAAGCGCAGGGTTTCGACGCCATTCACGCTGAGTTCCTCAAACATAGCGGCAGACTCACTAGGCAATGGCTCGCAGAATTCTTTTCTGACATCTTTCAAATGGGAAACGTCCCCACCAACTCAAAAAAAAAACTCAAGAAAAATCGTCGCCATTTTAAAACCAGGGAAAAGTAATAATTCACCGAAAAACTACCGCCCCATCGCACTCTTAAGTATGGTGTACAAATTGTTCGAAAGACTGTTGTATAATAGAATCAGCAAAACCATATTCCAACACTTACCAGTGGAACAGGCAGGATTTCGGCCAAACCGCAGCTGCACAGACCAGGTTACAGGTCAGGCTGCACCTGACCAATTATGTGGAATCAAACTTTCAAAAGCAATCAAAAACAACCGCTGTCTTCATCGATCTATCTGCTGCTTATGACACTGTGTGGCGACAAGGGGCAATATATAAATTAATGCGAATAATCCCATGCAGAAAGACCACTGAGGTTATTAACGCCATGCTATCCAACAGATGCTTTAAAGTTATATTGGGAGACAAGACTAGTACCCAAAGAAAACTGAATAATGGACTTCCACAAGGATCCGTGCTGGCTCCCATGCTTTTCAGCCTCTACATAGCAGACATGCCAGAAACCACATCAAAAAAGTTTGGATACGCAGACGACTGGACGCTTGCCGCAAGTCATAAAGAATTCGAGGTCACTGAACGCATTCTAACAAACGATTTAAATGCCTTAGGGAATTATTTCCGCAAATGGAGATTGCGACCCAATCCAACTAAGACAGAAGTGTCCTGCTTCCATTTGAACAACAAGATGGCCAACTATCAACCTCAAATCAATTTTGGGGATAGACTCCTTAAATATAATAAACACCCAAAATACTTAGGTGTTACACTTGACAGAACGCTGAACTTTAAAAAGCATCTTACTAAGACTGCTGCAAAACTCCGAACTTATAACAACATCCTGCAAAAGCTCTGCGGCACTACATGGGGCTCCTCAGCACAGACTACCCTAAAAACAGCTCCCTAACTTTCGCGTGATTGGTTGGTGGGTGGGTCCCAATTTAAAAATTGGCGGGTTTCATGTTTATTAAAATGACAATTGAGGTATTGTGGCACAGTATGTCGGTAAACAATTTATTAGCAATATATTGTGATATTGGTACAAAGCGGATGATATTCACATTTTAGGATTAAGCTGACTAGTACAGTTTTATTAGAAATTAAAATGTTAGTGATGCTTTTTTTATTAGATACATAGATATTGTTTTAATTTTTTGGTTTAGGTAATTTTTTACTAAGATTTAGAGGTTCCTCTTATTATTTTTATTTCTAGAACATTCATTACCATTATTATTCTCATTAGCTTTCTCTATGTGGAATCGGCTTCTCTAAGTATTTTCCTCTAAACTTTTCTGTTCTCTTCCAGGGACTAAGTACCTCTCCGCTTATTGTATGAGTATATGGATTTTCAGAAACATGTAATTTCTGTTCATCCCCTTTTTTTACTGCCCTACATTCAGTACCATACATCATAGCTGGTCTAATGGCAGTTCTATACAATTTACCTTTTAGTTTTCTAAAAAGCGGAGAGGTACTTAGTCCCTGGAAGAGAACAGAAAAGTTTAGAGGAAAATACTTAGAGAAGCCGATTCCACATAGAGAAAGCTAATGAGAATAATAATGGTAATGAATGTTCTAGAAATAAAAATAATAAGAGGAACCTCTAAATCTTAGTAAAAAATTACCTAAAATAAAAAATTAAAGCAATATCTATGTATCTAATAAAAAAAGCATCACTAACATTTTAATTTCTAATAAAACTGTACTATTGTTCTGAAGCTATTTTCTTGTGGCATTGTAAATTAATTACTGTTAAACTGGGAATAAGCCACAATTAAAGATAAAAATACGTCAATAAACGTATTTTTATCTTTAATTGTGGCTTATTCCCAGTTTAACAGTAATTAAAACTGTACTAGTCAGCTTAATCCTAAAATGTGAATATCATCCGCTTTGTACCAATACCACAATATATTCTCTACTTATATATATTTAATCTATGAATATATTGCTAATAAATTGTTTACCGACATACTGTGCCACAATACCTCAATTGTCATTTTAATAAACATGAAACCCGCCAATTTTTAAATTGGGACCCACCCACCAACCAATCACGCGAAAGTTAGGGAGCTGTTTTTAGGGTAGTCTCCTCAGCACCCACACTTAGATCGACAGCATTAGGACTGGTATACCCCGTAGCGGAATACTGTGCACCAGTATGGATAAACAGTCCACACACTCACCGTGTTGATGTCCAACTCAACCAAGCCATGCGAACTATATCGGGCACAATCAAGGCCACGCCCACTTACTGGTTACCAGCTTTGAGTCATATAGCTCCACCACCCATCCGCCGGGAACATGCCGTTGTCAGAGAATTTACAAAAATCAATACTGATCCTGAGCTCCGCTCCCATGTCGGAACTTCCGCCAGAGACATAAATAGGCTCCATTCAAGTCACCCGCCTCTAAAAACAGCAAAAAGGCTAGTAGATCAAAACTTTAATGTAACTAAACGGTGGAGAGAACAATGGGGGAATAACGCTGCACCAGCTAACTGGAACATGCCATGTATTACAAGCAAACCTGAGGGCTTCAACCAACCGAGACGAATTTGGACCACACTCAATAGAATAAGGACGAACTGTGGCAAATGTTCCGACGCACTTTTTAGATGGGGAAAAATACAATCACCAAATTGCGACTGCGGCGCCGAAAGGCAAACAGTAAAACACATGGTAGAGGAATGCCCGATTAGATCCTATAACGGCAACCCTTCAGATTTCCTGGCTGCTACAAAAGAGTCAATCGAATATATTTAAAATCTAGATGTTTGTTTGTTGAATAATATTTTTGTATTTACTGTTGTTTGTAATTTATATAATTTATATTATATGTATATATATGATTATGAACCTGTGATGTAGCCATACGCTAAATAAAATAAATGCCATCCCCTTTTCCGATACACCTCGATTAACCTTCTGACACTTCCAAGATATATTACCTCTGTAAGATATTTTTTAGATGCGGTAGTTGAAATTATATACCATCCTATTTCAAAGTCTTATTTATAAAAAACACTTACATTAATAAACTTTTACATATTAATACATATATTGCACGTATATTAAACAACAGTTCTAGATTAATTTTAATTAAATTAACTTAACCTAATTATATTTAGATAATTTTTGACTATATTTACCGATTTAGTTTGTATTTTAGAGGAACTCATCGAAGAATACGCGGAGATAAGTGCTATAAACTACACTCTTGCCAATGCACAGCGCGATGATGTCAGCTTTCTATACGCAAATGGATTATCTGGACTTGTTGAATTAACTCCATCTAATGCATCTTATGCGATAAACTTGGCTCATCCAGTTGTTTTCGTTACTCATGGCTACCAACAAAATATATCTCTCCCGTGGTTTAATATAATTAGGGATAATTACCTTAAGAGAACATCTGGAAAAGTTAATATTATTTTTTTAAATTGGTCTGAGGCTGCTTCGAATTCATTGGATGTTTCTTTTGCGAATGTTTATCCCATCGGATACTATATCAGTGAATTCGTTGTAGCTACTAAAATTCGTATAGAGACTATTCACTTTATAGGTAAGTTAAATTTTTGTTTGTAGTTAATACTGAATTCTTATACAGGGTGTCCCCGAAAATAGTGCATTTATTTAATAATACACAATTCGGAACAAAAAATCCTCTAACATTCTTTTTAAACTTAACCGTTAAAAAAACTAACGATTTTAGATGTCCCCAAAAATTAAAATCCAGTACATTGTAGTTGACATTTCGTGGTGGCCACATCATGTGTCCATTCCTACCAATCCAACGACGAGGATAAGTGGTATCAAGAAGATTTTTAACAGCATAGGTAAAATATGCTAAGGCTTCGTCGTTAAGAAATCACATTTCACGGCGTATTTGTAAAGGCACGTCTTCAAGAAGTACCGGCAAAACATTTTGTAAGAAATTATAGTAGGCCTCTCCATTTAATGTTCCGGGCAATTCATATGGTCCTATCAAACGATTGTTAATTAATCCATTCCTTAAATTTATTCTAAATTTTCGTTAAAAATTTCATTTACCTATTAAATAATGGTTCTCGTCACCCCATATATGGCAATTATGAAAATTATACACACCGTTTCTATTGGAACATGCTTGATCCGCACATAATACTTTAGATGAATTCACGTTTTCTGATGAGTGTATCTTGAAATCACCTACAAAATGTTAATTTTAGAGGAAGATCACCTTGTTGTAAGTCCGGTACTCTTTGATAGGGCTATGAATGTAAAAGTTGTTCCGTAAATGTTCTATGAAAAACGTTTTTTGACATTCCAATATACATAAATTCCCGACATCAATTTGGACAACTAAATTACTGTTACACTGCACTTCTCCAATAATCAACATATCGATGGCTTGGTTCCAACAGTGGCTAACTACAAAATCGTCGTTTTCGGTTAAACGAAATTTTAAGTTTAACCCTGTCGATCAAATCAGGTCTTTCAAATAGAATTATTGTTTCCTTATAAAATATTAGGTAATCATACTGACAAACACTTTAGATACAACAATAATAAATAGTTCTTTAAATTATTCGTCTGGAGAGGGTTTTTCGAAATAAAATGCAAGTAGCTACATTTGGAATTTAACTTTATTTTAAATTGAAAAATGAATACTGGTTTTCTACAATATTGAAACTACTGTAAACTTTATACAAATATCTAATAAATAAACAACGGCGCAAACTTCTTGTAAAATAAATATTAAAAAAAATCTTCTTCCTGGTCATTTATATCGGGTAATACCGTCTCTTCCTCAATATTCGGATCTCCAATTAGCTCTCTATTAAAGGCTCTGCAATCGTCGGGAAAATTTGCGGCACTACTAATTTCTTTTGTTTAGTTTTTTAAGTAACTAAGTTTTTTAGTTTTGCAGCCGATATTTTTCTTTTTTCTTGATGCAAAAGTTTTAAACATTTTTCCATGGTGGACACTGTAACTCTTCGACCTTTACGCAGAACAATCAATATTTTGTGAAATATTTCTTCATCTAAATGGGTTTTAACCTGCATTACAAAAGGATTAGCTTTTTCATAACGAATCCACTTAATGTCACGCCAATTAATTACAGTTCCATCTTCAGCTTTGTTTCGATTAACAATTATAAGTTTTGCAAGGGGTTTCGAATCAATAAAGGTAAGTTCAGGTGTTGTGTAAACTTCATATTTTGGAGCATTTCGTTTTGCGTTCTTTGCAATAGTTACCCATTCATGCGGCAAGTATACGGGGACATTTTTTGCCGCGGTTTCTATTCTAGCATGCATTGAGTCGCATTCCATTTGACTGTGACCAGAGACAAGAAATTTTTGATCGATTACATCAATAGGTAAAGCCTGAACAGCATACAGAAACATGGCAGCAACAAACTGATTTTTTGTTCTGACCACCGCAAGTGTCACTGAATAGTCTAACACTTTTAATTATTTGGGGGAGGCTCCTAAGATAGTGATACAAGCAAGACGCTACTACTGAGGGCCCACGTCCACCCTGAACCTCAGTCCACATGAAACATTTACCAGTATTATTTCCAGTATTGAAAATCGTAAAATTATAAGTATCAAGTTTGGTTTTATAAGATAGAACTGGATTTGTCGGATCTGTTGGAACATACAGGACCTGTTGCAGGTCAAAATTACAGGAGTGTATGGTTGAATCATTTAACGCAGCAACGATTTTATTAGAATTTTTTTTATCTCTTGCTTGTTCTTTAATTGTATGTGACAATCGTAATTCTGCTGTAGCGTGGTCTTGTCTGTAGGATTTGCTTTTTCATAAGTAGTACATGTCACACACTGGTATTTCTTTGATGTGTGAAAAGATAAATTAAAATGATTATTAAATACTTGTCGGTAGTATGATTCTTTGAGAAAGTTTTATTGTTTTCCATGCACTCTGATTGATAAAGTTTGAACATGGTAGAAATATTCAATTTTGGATCTAAGTAAAATCTTTTGAGTCTTTGCGGCAATAATGAGATGCCATGGTGGGAAACTTTTTTATATGTTCTTTCAAAAATGTTAGTGTTTCATCGGATATTTTTGATGTTCCATGGCCGCCCCTTCTATCATGTTCAGTAGTAGTACTATTGGGGAAACGTTTTTTAATTGAAAAATTTAGTACTCCTTTTTTATGCCTAGAGTTTGTAAAAACATTGTCTTACATACTCTTTGATGAATATTTTCAATCATAAATTCTATTCTTTTGCAATCTCTAACTTCTACTAAACTATTTATAAAATCACTCTTGAGTTGTTATCAACAGATCCTAGAAGACACTTCGTCTCAGGACCATTTTACCTATGTAGGGTCATACGTCCCCATGTTACCAATTCCAACGGTAACTTAAACATCCTAATCTGTAACCATATATAATGTAAAACAACTGTAAATGTATAACATTTAAAGGGTTTTGACCCATATATTTTGGTGGCTCACAGCATGTATACCTCGTTTACACTGATGATGGATTAAACAATCCGAAAACGTTTTGTAATGTAATTGTGATAGGCCGTTTGGGCATTTTATTATATACCTTTTATAAAGGATTTGAAATAAATTTTTTGTGCTGTATGGTATACAGCCAACTACAGGAACTTAGTTTCCTAGTGGAATTCTAAATTTAATATTTTTTCCGCTTTGGAACTCATTTTACAACAACACTAACAAACACTAAATTATACCTGAAATAAGTAGATACTCTATAAACTCGGTATTCTTGTAATTACAACAAAGACTGATAATAATAATTAAATTTAATCATAGGTTATAATAAAAAAAACGGCGCTAACTTCACATATATCGAAAGATGTCCCTTCCAAAGGTGGCTATGTGTTATTAGCTACTTATGGAATTGCGAACTACGTTCATTGTGTACATAGATACTAATGGTTTCATTAATTCTTTCGCCAATTTTAAAATTAATGCAATTCGCCACATTTGGAACAAAACTTAATTTGTAATTTTGGAACAAAAGTAATTATGCGGTATACTGTGTAAATAGCCCAAAAATGGAAAAATTGTAGTTAGCCACATTTGGAACCAATCCATCTATATCATGGTACTCAAGAATCGAAAACATTTTCGCGGTGACACTTAACATGATTGATTCAAAATATCTGTTTACTGCAGTTGTGACTGTCTATGTCTAGTTTTTTGTACTGCACGTAGTTGACAGATTTCTTTTTGCATACTGAAATGTATTTTCATTTTTTGGTCAAACGGTTGAATTTATAAAAAAATGATATAAGACTTGTATGTTTTAAATGGTGCCTTCTACCTATACCTTTAAAGAACGCACTATTTTCGAAGATGGCCTATATTGTATCGTAAAATAAAAGCCTAAAATTTAATAAAATAGTATATAAGCCTCAAATCACCCGAACGAATGGAAGAACTGGAAGAAGAACTAACTAAGATCAAGTGGGATGTCCTTGGTCTAAGCGAAACGAGACTGCCAGGAGAACAATGTACAATACTCCATTCAGGACACATGTTCTACCAATTCCATAATGAGTACAATACACATGTCGGCGGTGTAGCACTATTGATCCACAAAAGACTCAAACATCTGGTCACAAAATCTGCTGCAATCTCGGAGAGGGTCATTTACATCGTTCTTAAACTATCAGAAAGGTACAGCATCCAAATAATTCAAGTATACGCTCCCACTAGTCAATCCACAGATGAAGAAATAGAGAAATTCTATGAAGATATTTCTAAAGCAATGACAGAAAGAGCTCATTTTAAAATAATCATGGGAGACTTTAACGCCAAAGTAGGGAAGCACAACACCGGCAACATACCAAATAGAGGAATATATGGGCTAGGAACTACAAATGAAAGAGGAGAACGGTTACTAACATACACACAGGAACAAAATCTATTTTGTATGAATACATTTTTTAGTAAACCAGATAATAGACGGTGGACCTGGATAAGCCCAGACGGGAAAACCAAAAACGAAATCGATTACATATTAGTCAACCAGAAACAGATAATAAAAGATGTAGCGGTGCTCAACAGATTCAGTCTGGGAAGTGATCATAGATTAGTAAGAGCAAAAATAATAATCGATAACAAATTAGAAAGAAACAAACTAATCTTGCAAAAACGAACCCTAACTACTAAAGAGCTTGGGCAAAACAGTACCAACTACCAGAAATATCTTGAGTCTAGTCTAGAGCCAATGGAACAGCTAAAAGAAAAAGACATAAATAATTTGGAAGAAACGATAAGAACGAGTATAATCTCTGCGATCAAAAAAACCCATACGATGCCGAAACCGAAAGATAATAAATTGAAGACAGAAACACAACAGATGATTAGGGACAGAAGCCGCATGGATCGAAATTCACCAGAATATAAGGAACTTAATAAGGCAATAAGAACAAGAATTAGACAAGACATCAGGGACAACAACACCGAAAAAATCGAAAACATTATAGAGAAAAACAAGAATATGAAAGTGTTAAAAACGCTAAATAGCAAAGGCCGACAACAAATACACCAAATAAAGGATAAAAATGGAATC